AGGTTATTCCACAGTTCAGCACAGACACCGTTTTACTTTTAGCAAAAGTTTGCATGTAAAATGTGTGTTAAAAGGACTTTGATCCACACCTCTTCTGGGTGACAAGGATCCTCAGTGCGTAGCAGCTTCTTGATGCCGAGCATCACCTTTTCTCGACGGGCTTCTCTAAATTGCTTCTCCTTGTCACAAAGGGTGTGGCTGAACCGCAGGTCCAGGTTTGTACTGCAGATAAAAGCAACAAGAGGGAAGATTACCAAAGCAGTACCAGTCCCAGGGAAGCAGCACCGGAAACACGCGTTTCACAGTTTGTATTTAGAGGCCGATATAGGCTGTGATCTCTTAACACTACTGATAATGCTGAAACTGATGGTGATGTGATTTGGGGGATATCTGATGGAGAACACAACCGCAAATAGTCACGGCCTCAAGGAATTCATTACACACCCTTTTTTTCACTAATTACCTCTCAAACATTCAAATTTTTTTTTGAAATCCTCCCACAATTGTGCGATCAAAATTCTCATTAATCTTATTGTTAGAATGACTCAGCTCACATTTGCTGAATCGTGCTGCACCTACTTTCTAATTTTAAGCTATGGTATGCTTCAGGGGAGTTTCTGCAGTTTCAAACCTGCAATAATTCTGAAGAGCTTAGATTTTAGGTTAAACATGTAAATGTTGCTGTGAAACAAAATAAAACTATTTGATTTTGAAGGTATTACATACCAGATCTCCAGTGACATCTCTAAGTGCACTTTGGTTGCCTGTCAAAATAATTAAATATGTGGTTATTACACATTATTTAATTGTGGTTGAGGGCAAGAAATAAACACAGAAACACAACTGATCCCTTTAAAGTCTCTTGGAAATACATATTGTACTTTTCTATTGTGATGTGTAACAATAAAACCTTACAAGGTTACTTTGCTGATACTTTGTAGCCTCCATACTCATTTAATGCGAAATCTGCCTCTGTGGCCATACACTGACACTTTTAGGACATTAACAAAATATCAAATTAAAATATTAGGTCCTTATCTTCTTTAAGCAGCTTTTTTTCAGTTAAAGGGCTGATATGCTCTTCAACGCAGTCTTTCTGTGGATCTCTGGACCACTTCCAGCCAGTGTTGCCAACTCCTCAGTAAGGAAAATCGCTATTGGCTGTCCTAAAAGTTGCTAGAAGTCGCTAAATGACGTCATCACCTAATTTGCATAATTGGTCATGCTAATGTAATTGTAACCTACGCTGCTGGAGAGAGAAATAACATCGTGGACGAGACATAAAGTGAGCAAAAAACGTCCTAAATGCATTTAGAATTTATTTAGAACTACAAATTAAATTTCTTTCAGCAATTATTATTTTTGTAATGTCTTTCACGTCTTTTTTTAGAAAAAAAAAGTTGCTAGGGGGTCTGAAAACTCGCTAAATATAGTGACAAAGTCGCTAAGTTGGCAACACTGCTTCCAGCACTCACGCTGCTTGTAAATTACTCTATGGAAATTTAGCTATGTCTATATTCATGTGAAGAACTGCAAATCCAGAATAGAGTTCAAAGTTGGCCAGTAAGCGAACGTGAAGTCCTGCATCAAACTTTGTTTTCAAGCAGTTTAAGCTCAAAGAATCCAACTTTTTCGAGGTGCACAGAAGAAACTTGTCTTTAGCTGTGCGCACAATTAAATTAGATTCGTGTAACAATGAAAGCTTTTAGTGCAAACTTCTGAGGCATGAGGAGAAAATTGAGCCAAACTATGTTTTTTGCTCTACTTGCCACTTCATCCACTTCCATGTGGTCAGAACAAGACTTCCATAAAGTAATCTAGACATAGCAGCCGTGCTGAAAAAGATCTTGAGGCGCACAAGAAGATGCCCCTAATTCAGATTGGATGAACCTCTTACATGATTGCTTATAACATAATGACGATAAATAATGAAAGTCGGACAAATTAACTTTCTTACTTTGCCAATAAGGAACGCCTCCATCTTTGTCTGGCCCACGTTGAGTTTGGAGATTTCAAAGGATGCTGTCCCAAGCGTCTCATCCATCACGTAGTTGGCATCCATTAATGTTAACTGTTGGGCATAAACAACAGCAGCTTATACTCAAATACAAATTGTAGCCGGTGTTCACGTCTTCCAACTGGCTAGTTTTGTCGACTAGTTAAACTGATTATGACTTAAACGTTATATGCCGATTGCCTTCACAAACATGGAAGGACCTCACCGAATTAGAGCGTAGTGCTGTAACAGCGTCGGACCAAATTGCGTCAACTGTAAACGGCGTTGTTAGAAAGTAGAAACATTTAGAAACTATGGAAACTCAGCCTTGATGTGGCAGACCGCATAAAGTCACCGACCTTAGCAGTCGACTTTAAAAGTCACCTCATGACATGATTTTCCATTAGTCATGGATGTAAATATGTAGGCAGCTTGAGTAGCCAACCCCAAACTAACACTTGAGTCAGTCAAAGGCTAGATTTTAGGTTAACATTAACACATCACCTCATGGCGAGCTACAAGTGTTAGGCTGTGTTTATGTGGGATTGCGCTCCATGACATCACTTCTTGTCATCCTGTGCTGCGCTCTGTTACAGTAAATGCAGGTCTAACCTCCAGGACGTTGTGCTGGTTGGGGTCTAATATGAAATGAAAGGTCTCGTTCCATTTTGGATTGATGTCGTTGTCTATGTGCTTGGTCCTCCTTCTGCTTTCAGGAGCCGTTGGGATGAAAATCTCCACATACGGGTCTGGAGTGTCCACTGGGCGCACAAACAAGTTCAACAGGGTTACTACACAGCCGAAAACCAACCTCAAAATAACCATCAAGTGCTTTTGTATTTCTTTTGCTGTAAATGTACATGGATTAGATTCCAACAATATGAAGGAAAGCATGGTAATATGTTACTGTAAGGCAAAAATTATTTGAGCACTTACGCAAGTCGCCCAGCGCTCCCTTGGTGACGTTCTGAGCTCGAACTACAGTCACTGTGAATTTGTGAGAAAACTGCTGCTCCACCTGCAATTTGGACATTCAGAGTTCAGTCTCACGTCATTGCTTCATGAGAAGAAAAATCACATCAGCCATGCTGAGAATGAAAAATGAACACATCCAGATGACACAGCCAATGATTGCAGCATGACGTACACTGGTTCAGTGAAGTCTGGCGTGCCCCAAGTGAGAGCATCATTGAGAACATCTGGATTTTTTGGAACTCTCCAGTTAAGAATGCACTTCCCAGCTGTGTTCACACTGTGCTACGACAGCTTTCTCCTTATATTTTGACAATACTGCTAAATTTGTAGCCATTTAACAAATACTGTGACTCTAATAAATACTGATGAGCATTTAATGTGACCGTACTGTAAACACTTTATATATTTTACAGCAACCCTTTCACCTCAGTTTCCCTTTTGCAACATTGTCGCATCCCTGAAAGTTTGGTCGCACACTGAAATGAAAGTTAAAGTATTGGATTCTGTTCAATACGACTACTTGAAGGTCCCGACAGTGTTCCCTTTGTCACTTCTAGATATCAGATATCTCCAATCTCACAGAATAGATTTTGTTTTGAATTTCTGTGTGTTGCAGTGCAGTTTGATATTGTGACTATTTAAGATTTCCGGTTTCTGGCAGCCTTTTACACACTTTAAAATTATTTTTAAAAACCCAAAAGACGAATAGTTTTCAACGACATTTGCAAATCTCTAAAACAGGAAGTGCTGAGAGACTTTTGTGCTTTTAAAATAGCTCCCCTCTCACCCCTTCTTGTTAAAAGGGCTGCTTGTTCAGTTTTTCCTCTACGACACTGTGAGCTTTATTATTTTATGATTATGGTACTATGAAATTTAACTGGAATTACGTGATAAAAACTCAGACGTCACACTGATCAAATATTATGCATATTTTCCTTTAAACCAACCCTTTCAAACTTGTCTTCCACCAAAATGGAAATGGCCTTGACGTTGACACACTCATTGTTATACTTACACCGAAGTCTGTGGTTTGCGATAAGAGGGAATTTTTTTAATACCAGTGAACTAAGAACTTCCACAGAATTATTTGTGTCAGTTGATCCCAAAGGAATCTGTTCACTTTTGTTTTGGCCTCATTCTTATTTACAGTTATGTAAACACGCACTGTGTCGACACTCACAATTATATTGGAAGCCATTGTCATGTGAGGTGAGCAACTCGCAGGAAAGCCTTCGTCAAGATGTGAACTTTAGGTCAAGAGAACATATCGGTCACAAACTGCAGCACAGAGAGCCTGAAATATGAAACAAAGAAGTGCAAACACAGGGTTAGAACTTGAACAGGCTGAAGAAAACATATTTAAACTGTGATGCAAACGACAACAAAATACTGGCATAATTAGAGCTTTACTTTTAGCCAGAGATGCAGCAAATGGACATATTATATGGCGTTATTTTGTGCCACTATTCTGAGCGAACATAAAAAAAAATGAGCGCACGTAAAAAGTTTGCAGGTGCAAGTGTTGCATTTTGAGGAGAAAATTATTTTGAGCGAAGAAAAGCTGAATTTGAGTGAACAAAATTCATTGCTGCGTGCAAAAAATGTATTTCAGTGTTTGCTGTTATCCACACACACGCAGCCCCTCTCGCTCAGTTTTTGCATGTGTTGCTCGCGCTCTCAACATTTCTGCACGTGCGCGCTCAATTCTTTCTGTACACCGTTATAGTTGTGCCACAAAACCAGCCAATCACAGACTTGGATGCAAAAATATCTGATTGGCTGTTCTGGTCTCCAATCAGCTCGAAATGACGAAATGCAATATCCCAGAATCCATTTCGTCCAAAACCCAAACGAGGCATTGGCGGAGGAACACAGAGTGGCGGAGTTTGAAATATTACTGTCTGGGTCACAAAATAAACTTCTAAGATATTTTCATGCGAGAATGTTTCTGTGTAAACTTCAAATATCTGCTCGGTTCATCAAGACATCACATATTTCCAAAAGTGCTCTAACGGAGATGCCTGTTACCCACCAACTGACCGCATAGCTGGACTGGCCATTGGGCCAAAGAAAATACATTTTACAGAGCTTATTTATCGGATAAAATACGTTAAATGTCACCGTGATTATTGGCCGGCCTGGAAACAGGGGGGGGTGTCTGTTTTGGAGGAAGGAAGTTTCAGGGTTTAAGTAGTCATCATCATGGGCTCATCCGATTAGAATGAGAATAAGCAGTCATCAATCATTTGCAGGTTTTGTCTTTTTATTGGATAACGGGTAAAGGAAAGACACACATGGACTGCTATCTCTAAAAAGGACAAAGTATGATTTAAGTAGCTCAAAATAATGCATGAACTCAGGAGACTCAAAGAGAAACTCACCTCAGCTGCCGCCCAGTGTAGGAGTGAAGAAAGAGTAAGGGGTAGGTGAGTGCAGTCCTTATATAACGAGTGACAGGTGAGCGCAATTAAGGCCAAGCACCACCCCCAATCAAAGGTGAGGACAAGAAACAAGGCGCATCGTGAATGTGCTGAAAGGTGAGTCTTTACAACAGTGTCCAAATTCAGACTGCTTCCACCTGAGGACCCCGTCTAAAGAAAGCCGGGTAGTGCATCACGAGCCCCCTCGGTGGAGTGAAACTGCCGTCTGCTCCTCGCTATCTAATATATAACCGGGCCTGACATAAACTCTTCTGTTTAATTATTTTCTGTTTGACGTTTATTCAGCTGTGTGAAAGGAGGAACCCTCCCGGCAGATTAATAAAGTTAAATTTAATTTGATCTAATCTAATAACTTTAATCTCAGCCAAACCGATTTA